GGGCCCCTCATTACAGAAAGGATATAGCCAGGTTGGAGTCAGTGCAGCGTAGGGCCACAAGGTTGGTGGCCGGTTTGCAGGGGATGGGGTATGAGGTGAGACTGAGGGAACTGGGTCTCTTCAGCCTGGAGAAGAGGAGACTCAGGGGGGATATGTTGGCGACATACAGGTATGTGAGGGGATGTCATATGGAGATGGGTAGAGACCTGTTCTCCCCTGCAGAGGAAGGCAAAACGTGCTCCAACGGAGCAAAGCTCAGGGAGCCAAGGTTTTGTTTGGATGCCAGGAAGCACTTCCTGACAGTCAGGACCCTGAGGGTGTGGAATGGGCTTCCACGAGAGGTCGTTGAGGCCCCATCGGTGCGGGTGTTCAAGGATAGGCTGGACACTTCGAGAATGTGGAATAGAATTTTTTATATCCCCACCCCTCACAAAATAAGAAAGGGACTCCACCCAGCCTACCAAACAAAAGGAAAAAATCAAGCATAATTAGCAAGATTTTCTTCACAGTTTTCTTTCTTAATGTTGAATTCAACAAGAATCTCTGAATATTCCAGTATTCAGTATATTCCATCAAAATACCACAAAGGAGTGTTGGAGTCCTGTTAACATAAAGCTATTGATCTTGTTGCTGCGTTCTTTGATTTAAAAAAAAAATCTTTTCAGTTTGCAGATTCATTTAACTTCAACCCACACAAATGGCTCCTGGTGAACTTTGACTGCTCAGCCATGTGGTAAGACATGCAATAAAGGAAATGGTATTAAGTCTCTAGACTCTAGAGTATGCCATTTTTAGGTACAGTTTACATGTTATGGCCTACCTTGTTACCAAAGTTTTATTATATATGAAACAAATCAGAAGGGAAAGCTAGTAAGGGATAAAAGTAGCTGGAAAGAGTACATGTAAATAGTTAAATTCAGTGCTAATCAAATCTGGCAAAGGAAAAGGTAATTGGCATATTTATGTATCGTGAATAGAGATAGGTCCTTTATTCCCAGTTTCATAAATTAATCATGGGATAAGCTTAATTTACAATCAAAGCTGATACATTTATTAATCTACCAATTGAATTGATTAAAGCTTATATCTGTAATTATAATTATTGTGGAAGTAAGATGATGCAGTGGCAAATTATTCATATTCATTATTTGTGCAGGGTGAAGAACAGATCAGACTTAACAAGCACCTTTAAAATTGACCCTCTTTACCTGAAGCATGAGCATGAGGAATCTGGTAAAATGCCTTCAAACTACATTATCTTTTCTGCAACTTTAACATAGTTTGTGGCTGTCAATGTTTGTTTCACTTTAAAAGAATCATAGCATTTCAAAATAGTGAGAAATGACTTTTCTTGCAGCTCTTCTGGTGAAATTATGGGATGTGACTCAAAGTTCTATTAATAATCACTGATCTTCCTCCCAGCCCACATGTATCAGGAATTGATAAAACATTCTGTAACTGCTGACCACTAGTGGTTAACTAAAGACACAGGGGCCCTTAATAGGAGCTTGTTTCAAAGACGCAGGAGTCTCAATAATGTTCACAGTATTGAATGTAATGTTCACAGCTGGTAGTGCAATTGGAGTTCATTTCAAAACAATCACTGCAAATAAGGTGTGGAAAAGTATAGGAAGATAATGGGAAAAAACATTGAAGTCTATCAGACTGATAATATTATCAACTGCTTGCTTTATAAAATTGAGAGGACAAAAGATGATTATTCCAGGGGAAATGACTAGCATAAAAACTGCCTACATTGACTTTGATCCCATGTACCAAGGAACTTCTTATATTAAATTCTTAGGTTAGAGTGCATGCTTACATTCATAGTGTAATTACATATGCACAGGGGTCTCCAAGATGATGCCAGCAGACATCAAGGTACTTAGCAGCCCACACAGGCTGGCATTGCCCACTTTATGCCTTAACTGCTCAGAGAGCCTGGGTACTCAGCTTGTAAATTTGGCTCAACTTTAGAAGCCCAGGGGAATTCCAGTAAAACTAAAGTAAGCCAATGAGAGATGAAATCAATCCATTCCTAATGTTGCCAATTGAGACCAAAAACGGTTTTCCTTGCCTTATAGTGTTTACATACCAATTCACTGCCTTCCCCTCCGTGATAGGATATTTCTTCTGGAGGCCCTGAACAACTCTATTAGCTTTCTTGAATAGCACAATCCCATGAAAATTTGATAGCGTGTTGCCTTTTAATAGGTCATAAATTAAAATGCTAAAAAGCAGAGAGCCGAAAAAGTGCATTGCCTTAAGGCACAGCAGCCCAGTTTTCTCCAGGACAATGATCAATGCTTACCTTCCATCTTCTGTCTTTCTGCCAGATGCTAGTATTTTCCTCTTCCTAGTCAAGGCTTGTTAATACTTGCAATAATATGCCATATTTACATGCTGATAGTGTGAAAAGGTAGGGAAATTGAATGTTCCTAAGTATACAAAGAAATGTAATGTAACTATCCAAATCCTCCATTTGCCTGGTGTACGGGCTATCTCAGTAACATAGGAGAGACCTAGTTTTGCCTATGCTCTCATGACTGTTTCTGCTCTCATCTGCGAGCTGTTGAATAGTGGTGGCCACTCCCCCACCTCCAAATCTGCCACCAAGCATTAGTGATTTTAGGAGAAGTAGCTAGCTGGAACCAAGCTTTCAAATACGCTTCATTCCAGCATTTTACCTCCCTAATTCAAAAGCCAAAAGAGCAATACATTTCTCTGAATCAATGACTTGGTTTGCACGTAGAGACAACCAACAGGTTGTTTAGATCAGGGCTGCAAGCGAATGCTCACTGCTTTTGTATTCAGAAACAATCCAGGAATGTCCCTACACTGTTAGTCATAACTGTCTGAAGCCAGCACCCTGGGATGTGGGGGGTTGACCAGTACATAGTTTGAACTAATGGTTTATTGTTGGGCTAAATTCCTGGTCTACTTAACTCTCAGGAACATTCCTGAATTATTTTCTAAAGCAGAAACAACAAGAGGGCAGCAGGCAGCTCATTTGCAGGCCACTCTGACCCTTAACTTGTGAATAGTCATGATTTCAATTGTCTTCCATTCAGGCCCTTGAATTGCCATTTGATTCTCCAATCCTCCTTCTCCAAAGGCAGGACTGGTAGGAAATAGGGAAGAGTCTGTCAACATGGCAGGCTGGTGGGCAAAGGAGTTCCTAGATCACTGTTATTACACTTGCCTTTGGAATGTAGTTACACTTAAAAAATCAGACATAGATTTAGTCGGCTGGGCCTGCCCTTTCAAATTACTGAATAGACTGTCCCCTGTGCTCCCAAATTCCATCCCTGAGCATACTGATCTCTATTCTAGAAGAAAGGCCCCTATTACTGCCAATGCTGGTTGGTTGGCTTTCTGTCTGTCCATCCGTCCCTTTCCTTCCTTCCTTCCTCCTTCCTTCCGTCCGTCCATCCGTCCTTCCTTCCTTCAACTTCCACTAAAAGGCGGACTTTTTCTATTGCCGATGTACAGTGATGTGATTATATGAATACAACAGCAAGTCTGGTGAATCAGTAACCTGCTTGGAGTTATAAAACAACTCCTAATATTCCGTACTTGATCGACTCTAGAAAGTTCCTTTATGCCTTTGGATCAGACCCTGAGCTTTCACTAGAAAAAGGATTAGCAACTGATTGATGGTACCCTTTTCAACAACAATTTCCTTTAATTTATATTCTGTGCTGCGAAATGGGAAACATGCACGAACCTGGAAGAGCTTCCTGGATATGGCAGCAAGAATACTACATAATTTGCAGGCTGTTGCTGGCAAAGTTGACATATTGAAAGCTTGTCCTCTGTCATTCTAGAATGTAAATTAAGGGGGGTTGTGTGTGATCAATCTGCTTGCAGAATGTAGTTTCATAATTGCCTAGCAATTAACTGTGTGCGCAAGAGAGGGAGAAATCCATATTTTATCTGCTACTGTAATTTTGTGTCGATTTGTTTTCTCACATCAGGGATTGTACATGACTTCCTCGCGGCCAACAAATGGCAGTCAGGTGGCAGCTCTTCTGCACCATATTATAAATACTACATGGGCAGCCTTAATTAAGTTCATCCGGGCTACCCAGAGATGCAAGGCCAAGGCTTATAATCACGGTGACAAGGACTAATAACGGATTGTATTATGCTGTTCAGCTTGTTTCCAAGAGGTTACTGGGGATCATTAGACACATTGCCTGGTGCAGCAACATGTAATTAGCTGCCCATTGCTAGTCGCCTTTGTCTTTTGATGCAGCCCTGCAACCATTAAATCAACATTGTCAGTGGGTGGAAAAGTCTGCTTTTCAGCTCCTTATCGGGGGTTTAGGTTCAGTTGCTTCTGAAACCTGCCTGTTTCATTGAGAGGAGAAATGTATCATTCCAGTTTTGCACAACCTTATGCTATTCCATTAGGGGTTTTTTTAATGGCCAAAAGGAAGTGTTACCTACATAGTGGTACAGGTTTTAGTATCATTTTGGCAAATGTGTGCTCCCAGCCCCATGTTTGTCAAAATACTGGGAATAAGTGACAGGAGGGTATGGATCAGTGAGGGGAAGGGAGGGAATTTGAAAAGTCTATAGGCATGCTTGGCTGAAAGGGCTTAAAGAGCTCCTGCAATAGGCATACTCCCATTTCAGAGTTTCCTATGATAGGAGCTCTGTAAGCATGTTGAGAGAAATGCACTCATTGTCCTTTTCAGACCTCAGTGCTCAACATTTAGGCTACAGGAATCTTTGTAAAGTGAAGATGTCTAAACAAACATATATAGGGATATAGAACATGCATCTTCACTTCCTTACCTTGGTTGACCATGGAAGAATGTAACACAGTTGGTTCAGCACTGCATATTCAGTGCTGAAGAGACGTTCCTTGGGTTACAGTTAGTCCACAGTGTGGATCTGAGGATGTAGCTAGAAATATTCAGTCTTCAAATGGTTGTTCCCCAATTTTGCATATTTCATAGGATGGTCTTTGTGGGTTCTGGGAAGCTCAGAAACAAGCAGGTTTCCCCAGTAAACATGAGGATATAGAGGGAAACACCTCCAATGGTGGCAATAGGCTGGTAGACCCAGCAAGAGATTCCCTCTCTGAGAGGGGTCACTGGTTCACTGGCAAATGTCAGAACTGGCTTTCCAATTGTGACGTGAGGATGGTGGCTTCTATCAAACAACTCAAAGTTGAATATTTTTGACATATAACTGATCTATTTTTATTAGTTTCATCTACAAGTTCTTGATTTGATTGTCCTTGAAAAGCTTTTGCTTTATAATGAAAGCTTCTATAATAAAAAACAGGGTATAGAATTATTTTCAAGAAGCAAATAATATAAGAAATGGCCAATAAGCTTGAATGTTTGGACTTGGATAACCTCATTTGCAAAGGAAAGGCCGGTCTCCTGCCTCATTCCAGCCAAAAATCGCCACACGGAAAGCACCTAATTTGTGTTTAACATGTGGATTGGGTGGGCATATCTGTGTAAGTGCACTTGAGAAAATTGTAATTTGGTCCTTTTTCTACCAAGTACACAGTCAGGAAAACACACACGTGTGTTGTGATCCTGGTCTGGCACCTATACAGACATATTTCAATACAGCAGAGTGTTTTCCATTTAGGACTGTTCAGCACTAAAATCTAAGCTGCTACTGCTAATTCTGAGGCACCTCACAGAGTGCCAGCAATGTTTTGCTTACTTGCCATTTCCTGGAAAGAACCCTGCCACCCTTAATTAAACCTTCTCTCAGCCCAGATGTTTCAAGGATACCACTGCTTCAGGTATCATAGTGTGGGATAATAGTCATAATAGTGAATGCATGATGATACTTTACTGCATTATAACAGTGTTGCATTATATTTTTCCTTCCCAACTTACAGGACTTATTACCGATTACAGGGTAAGTACAGGTTTCTTCACAAGAACACCAATGCACACATTATGCAGTATTTTGCTTATCAATTATTGTCAGAATAATTCAAGAGTCATCAGAGATAGTAGGAGGGATAATAAACAGGGGTGTTTATCTTCCACATGTCTGTGTACTGTGTCTGAAGACATCTGCAATCTGGTACATCTGATTCTTCAGTATTTCAGTGCTTTCTTAAAAATATGTGTGTAATCCTTCTATTGGTTAAGAGAGCTGAAAATACCTAGTTGCTCCTTTAGATGCAAACCCTCTTCCATGGCAAAATTAATGCTTTTGGTCTTATCTCCAGCACTGGCAGATCCCTCTGGGCCGGCGGTTCCGTTCCTTGAAAATGTGGTTCGTGTTTCGAATGTATGGCGTGAAGGGACTACAGGAGCACATCCGCAAGGTGACACCTTTTATCAGAAAAGACAAACAGGCTTGGCTGAAAAGCACAAAAAGTCAGAGAATACAGTATTTCCTTCAGTTTTGTCATGATGTTCTGTTGCATGCATGTGGCAGTCTGTTAGCTTACAAGGCCAGGGGCAGCCCAACAGGTATCTGACAGCACCCAGCAATTCCTGCCTGCCTGGGAATCAGGATTGTTGGAAGACAGTGTTCGGCATGGTGTCCCACAAGTTGTTCATGCCTAGAATAGGCCACAAAAAGTAATTCCTAAAATGAAAATACTGGTTTATTAGCCATAGGGTATGAAATCTATGCATATATAAAAAAGAAAAATGGAGTGAGATAGAATAAAATGACATCTGAACAAGGAGTGAGGCTTCTTGTCTTTGCCAAATATGATGGCTGTGTGATTTATACACATAGTAGCAACAGTGGCTTGTACTTGGATTTTTCATCAGTTTCTTTTATTTATTTATTTTTTATTTATTAAAACATTTCTATGCCGCCCCTTGCCGAGGCCTCGGGGCGGCTTACAACATCATAAACTTTCTCTTTAAAGTTAAAGGTAGATGTCCACAGGGGCAATGGATCATGGAACTTAAAACCAGAAAATGAGGAATTTAATGACAGTAATACATGCATTCACTACTGAGTTCTGCCAAGTCTGAAGAACACATTAGGATTATGGGATTTACTTCTGCTTGTCTCAAGTGTGTCTAACCTCTGCAGTGCATCTTCAAATTCCATTGCCTCTGTAAGCTGTAACATGTGGTCATGTGCTCTGATGTGCATAATCCCAATTCCTACAATCTTTACCCTTCCTCATTGTCCTGCTTAAAGATTGTGGGTTGTTGGTTTTATGCAGGTAGTGCACTTTGGCTATACAAAGAACTGTTTCATTATGCCCAGACTATGGAGGGGAGGCTGGCCTAGATGCAGTGGGTACATGTGATCCTACTGCCTAGTGATGCAGAAAGGGCTGGTTAGAGTAACTCTGGCTTTCTGGTTGTAACTAAACAGGTACAAACCTCTAATAGTCCACCAGGAGTCAGTTCCCCTCTTCCAGGAAATCTTTCTTCTACTGGCTGGAAAACTTGCCTTTATAGCAGCAGCACATTTGAGAAAGTAATGGATTTAAAGCAACAGTCCAGTCTGTACACTGACTGGGAAGCACGAGTCGCTGAACAAAACATTGCTGATTTCCAAATGAACACATAGATAATTGGGCTGTAAAGCATTCTGTATAGTTACAGAGCAAGCATTTCATCCTTTATGGCAGTATAAAATGCAAAGCTCTTGGCGCCCCCCAGTGCTTTTATTATACATTGCTAGTAATTTCAAACAAACTTCAGTGAATTATTCTTGACTGCTGAGCTCAGTTGTTGTAAAATTAGGACTGTAACTTCCTTTACAGAATCAATCCATCTGGTATTTGGTCTTCCCCTCTTCTTCAGCCTTTGACTTCCCCTAGCATAATAATTTTCTCCAAGGAGTCTTGCCTCCTCATGATGTGCCAAAAACTTTCACAATTTCAAAGTCTTCATTGTTGACAATAACGTTGTAAAATTCTTCCATATGCATGCTTTTTGTTTTCTTAAAACTTAACTGCAGTATTGCTCTTCTACTTTCCTCTTTTGCTTTTATCAAGATTCATTTTAATTCACTTCTGCTTTTTGCCAGTAAGATGGTATCATCTGCATATCTTAAATTATTGATGCATCTTCCATCAGTTTTCACTCTGATTCTAAACCAGCTTTCATTCTGTACAGATTGAACAGATAGGGAGATATAAGACACCCTTGTCTGATGCCTTTGCCATGCTGTTTCTCCAGCTTCTGTCGTAATAGTAGCTTCTTATCCATGACATGGGTTACACCTCAAGATCAATTGTGAGGCACATCCATTTCTTTCAGGACTATCTATAGCTTCTCATTACCCACACAGCCAAAGGCTTTCCTGTAGTCCATAGAGCATAGATTGAACTTCTGAAATGCCTTTGTGTACCCCAATAGACAACATATATTCGAGCGGCTTTTCCTTTTTGGAATCTGGTTTAAACCTCAGGTATTTCTCACTCCATATAGGGTAATATTCTCTGTTGCAACACTTTGACCATCACTTTGCTTGCATTGGAAATTTGTTGCAATGCTCTTTTGCATCTTCTTTCTTAGGGACTGGCATATATATTGGGACATTGTTTTGTTTTCCAAAGTTACTGGTATTTTTTTTGTTTGGATTTGGACTGATACATTCTCTGCAGCTTGGACTAGTGCTACTGGTACCCAGTGAACTCCAGGTTCTCTGTTTTTTTCAGAAGCTGTCAGAACAGTTTTCTCTTTGCTTTCTAATGTTGCAGACTCTTCCTCATTAGGATTCCCCCTTGAAGGAGTCTCTTATCTGTTCATCTCTTTTGTATAGTGAATTGTTGTCACTCTTTATTTTCTCCTGGTCAGATAGTGTACCCCCCTTTGCTTTTTAGCATGCCTAATCTAGGGTGGATTTGCCTTTGATTTTATAATCTTCTGGAAGAGGTCTCTTGTTTTCCCTCTTTTGCTGGTCCCTTCTATTTCTTTGCACTGCCCATTGCAATAGTTCTTTTTGTCTCCAAGTGATAGTTGCTGAAAAGTTGCAGATTCTGACCCTATTTCTCTCACCTGTTCTTAGCAATTGTGTTTCTTCTGTCATCCATCTAGCCCCCATCCCACCCCATTTTTGCATCACAAATAGCCTTTTTGCATCTTTCCTTAACAGTGTCTCCGGTCTCCACAGCTCTTCTGGTTCAGAGTCAGTTGGGTTCAGAAATGCAAATTTGCTCTTTATGTGAACTTTACATTCCTCAGGAATACTATTTAAGTTGTATTTTGGTTCTGTGCTTCTGTTAGTGATCTTTTTCAGCTTTATTCTGATTTTTGATACTAAAAGTTCATGGTCACTGCTACACCCTGCTCCTGGTCTTGTTTTGGCAGCAAGAATACAGCTACTCTAGCTTCTAAATACAATTACATAGTCTATTTACTTTCTATATTGGCCATCTGGTAATGTCCATCTGTACTGTCATCTGATCAGTTGCCTTAAATATATGTTTGCAATAAACAGATTGTTGACTTCACAGAATTCGAGTCATTCTTTTTAGACCAAATTATCCTACAACATCAAATTCTGCCTTGCTTCCTACTTTTGCATTCCATTCACCTAGGATTATCAGTATGTCTTGTTTTGGTACATTATCAATTTCATCCTGGCTGCTTGCATTAATGTTTTTGACTTCCTCCTCTTTGGCATCTGTTATTGGAGCAAACTTGAATGATGGTTCTGTTGATAGGTTTTCTGAGAATTTTGATTGATATGATATGATCCAGGTGAGCTTTGCATTACAAGCCCCTACTGTGTGTGGTTCGTCTTGCCTCAGCATCAGAGCCACCCAATTTCTTTTGAGTATGTCATTTCCAGAGTAAAACACTTTGTGTTTGTCTGACTGAAAATGCCCAATTTCAGTCCACTTTAGTTCACTCATGTCAAGTACTGTGATGTCTAACTGTTGGTTTCCATTTCATACACTTCACATTCCAATTGTCTGCATGGTGCAGCATCAGACTTCACTTTCACCTCTTTGTCCCTGGTTGACTTCCTTTCAGGTTTAAGCTGGCTGCATCCTTAGCAACAGCATTATTCATACTTGTCCTTTGCTCTTCCCAAAGAGCTTCTGCCAATTATTTACATACAGGGTTTACAAGTTTACATCACAGGGTTTACAAGTTAAGAAATATCTACCAGTGCCTTATTCTGTGCATTACTAGCCAGAGTTAGTTGGAGCTTCACTGATGTTGTCCATGAAAGATGCTGCCCTTAGCTACTCTTGCTGCCCAGTAGCTACCCTTCAAGAGTTTCTCAGCCCCCATCCCCATTAGGGATTGTGCTCCTGAAGAGGACAGATGCATCTTTGTCTCAGTTTTGACCATTCTACCTAGATGATCCTGCCAGGAGACCAGCCTAGTGCAAGTCTGACCTCCTGGCAAGAGTGCTCTTGGCTTCTCTGGCACTCAAGCCCTGCCACCATGCTAAGTCATGCATCCAAGAGGGGAAACTCCTGCATATAAACAAATTAAAATATTTATGTCAAAATCCCTGGGTGGTGAATGCCAGCCAAGCCTTCCTGGGGCAATGTTGCACAACTAGGATGGCAAAACAAAGAAGACTCCCTGTCCACATTGCTATATAGTTTTTACTGTACACTTGTGGTCTATTTCTAGCACATCTCCATTTGAGCAATAAAAACCTAAAAACCTGCATCTCCTAACCATCATTTGACCCAAAGTGAACACTCCCTAGCTCTTGTTGACTTTAGGTATTTAATTTATGCCCCACATTTCCACTGAAAATTACAGGGGTCAGGGTGACTAACTGCATGAAAGCCAAGATTAAAATAAACTTAGTTAAAGCAGTAATAAAAATAAAAAATGCAGTTAAAGCACACACAATAAAACTGCTTCAGCAAAATGCCAGTGTAATTTATTTATTTATTAAATTTATAGGCCACATACAGCCCTTTTAGGGTTCTCTGGGTGGTATACATTTCATGCTAGAGGTCTGCTTGAATAAACTTGTATTTGCTAATAGTTAGTCAGTCTAGCCTCATTTGGCAGGGTGCTCCAGAGCCTGGAAGAGCCACTGAAAAGACCTTCTCCCATAGCCCCACCAAACATACCTCCAAGGGTGATGGCCTCAAGAGAAGGGCCTTTCCAGAGGATCTAAAAACTCATGTGGGCTTGTATGGGAGGATGTAGTCATTCAGGGCAGGTGAGAACATTCTAATTTCAGAGGGATTGCGAAGGATAAGGGTACCAGTGAGGCTGGCTCTATATTACCTCAAATGCTGGAGGCAGTGTGTGGAGTACCTATCAGCATCTGGTTGGCTACTTTAGGAACAAAATAGATGTCTGTCTCTTCTTCCATTCTTATGCTCTTAAAAATGTGATCCATTTGAGCTCGTGATCCTTTGAGTTCAAGGGCATTAAGAAGAGACAAATCTTCTGACTACAGAAGATATACACAACTTAAAGTCAATGATGAAGGTACTGAGATTGGGAAAGCTTTTGCATAGCTTGGCTCAGTCATCAATTCAAAGGGAGACTGCAGTCAAGACATTCAAAGAAGATTTGGAAGGGCAGCAGTGAAGGAACTAGAAAAGATGGAGCAGTGGAAGAATGTCTCACTGGAAACCAAGGCCTAGATAATTCACAATATTGTATTCCTGATCACTATTGTGAAAGCTGGACAGTGAAAAAAGTTGACAGGAAGAAAAGGATGCATTTGAAACATGGTGCTGAAGGAGAGCCTTGCAAATATCCTGGACCAACAGAAAGACGAACAAGTGGGTCCTAGATCAAAATCAAGGCATAACATGCCCTGGAAGCAAAACTGGCAAGACGGAAGCTGCTGTACCTCTGGCATATCACCAGTAGGCAAGACTCATTGGGGAAGATCATGCTAGGGAAAGTCAAAGGCAAAAGAGGGGAAGACCAAATATGAGACGGAACTGGACTCCATAATAAAGGAAGCCACAGCCTTGATTTTACAAGAGCTGAGCAGGGCTGTCAAGGGCAGGACATTCTGGAGGAAATTCATCCATAGAGTTGCTGTATGTCAGAGACAGCTTGATGACATGTAACAACAGTAATCAAAGGCAGGAGCAGTGCAGGGCAAAGGTTATTTCTGTACTTCTGCTGTACTGTTTTCAGCCATCTAAATGCTTTGCTCCTGCTTGTGAGGTTAAAAGCTGAGGCCCCACTAGTATACCTGGCATTGTGGCAGATCCTCACTGTTTCTCTCCTTCCCCTTTGGAAGGCCTTGGTGCTTTCTCTGACAGCTGTAAGGGTGGAGGAAGGGCACCCATAATCAGGTGTCCCAGTCCCGGAGAGCTCTTTTTCTGTAGCTATCCGGACAGTGTCTACTGGCCAAAGGATTGTGCTTCTATAAGTGTTTGTAAATTCCAAATGAGTTGCTTGTTTTTACATATCAGGCTTTTGATGTGCCACATACTGCCATCACCAGTCAGTGTGGTAATTTAATAACTATTTTTCTGATCATGGAACTTTCTGGCATGGAATTCTGGAGTCTCATAATTAACTATTTATCTACAATAGGCACTCCATTGATTAGAAATGTGTGGGTCTCAGTTGAGATTGGGGTGGATGATACTTACAATCTCTTCCTAGTTCTCCAACACTATTTTGCAGGATGAAATCTGATTTAAAGTATTATCTAAATTTACCTTTTAATTTTTAGCATGTTAAGCTAGCTCATGAATTTAAGGAGCTGGTGCTTCAGGATGACCGATTTGAGATCTGTGCTGAGGTCATACTGGGACTGGTGTGCTTCCGCCTGAAGGTAAGCTTCCAGTATTCTCCCTTGCTCTTATCCTTTGCTGTGTTTTAATATTTCACTTTTTGGCTGGTTAACACATAACATTAATGTGTGAGAAAGTCAAATGAGGGGGTGACTTTGTTGAAAGTGAAGTGCTGAAGTAGGTTTTCTGTTGCCATAGCCCTACAGCAAATGACACTTGGCCTTATAGGAAGAATGTAAAAAATCAGAAACTCAGTAAACTGGCATTGGTATTTGGCTACTAAGGAGATGTGTGGGTTTTTCAGGTGTTTCATGTGTCTCATCTTAATTTCCAAAAAATCTATGGAAATTTTGCTAGCCTTTTTAAGATTCCTTTCCCTTCCTCTGAAATTCCTTTGATGTGCTGCTCCTAGAAGGAGGCACCTTAAAGTACACACAAAACTCTTGCTTTATGTGAGAGCTCCTAACTATGACAACTTAGTGGCCACATGAAATTGACATGAGTGAGGACTAAGATTTTCCCACAGCTTTGGGAAGCAAATACCCAGACATGATTGAGTCTTTTAATTTTAATACCATTTTTTCTCATTCTCTTAAAGAAATAATCAGCTTTCTTAGTGCTGATCAATGACTGCTGTGACAGGAAAGAACAAAAATTAACCATTAGCCACATTAACTCTCCATATTGCTTTCTTTGACATTTGGAGGAAAAAAATTGTGCAATATCAAGTGATCATTAGCTTGCTGCTTGAGCAGATGCCTAAAGTGATATGCTAAGATTTAAGGGACATCATTAAGCAGGGGAACACAGTATGCTAAGATTTAAGGGATGTGATTAAGCAAGGGAACACAGTTTACGAAAAGCAAAGAAATTGAGAAAATTAACCTTTTGGCTGCCCCTTATTACCAAGCAAAGCAGACATTTCTCTTTCTGGCATGCTTCACGTCCTCCCACATAACTTTTTATCCAATTTCAAGGAAAAGAGAAGATGTTTATGAAAAAACAATGACTTGAAAAATAGATGCTACTTAAGCTTACACACACACACACACACACACACACACACACACACACCTCACCCTCCAACATCACATGCAAGAAATTACCCAGACTGTAAAGGGGGAACTACATGTTCCCCCTTTCCATACTGTTTGGTACAATTAATCAGGTGACCTGATGCTCTCATGCTGTGCATTTCCACTCTCCTCCATCACTGTTTGTTGTCACTGTTGGAGGTGGGCTGATAAATAGTGCAATGGCAGCAAGGCTTGGGGTGATTTGTAGGGGAGAGGGAACTTACTTGGGGCTGCTATTTTTAAGGCAGCCTCGGGTTCCTTGCATTTGTTCTGCTGCAATATGTTCCCCCATATTATGGCAGCAGATAGACCCTTATGCAAAATACTTGGTACATTCCGTTTGCTACAATGGTAACAAAACCACACCACCATAGGGTAAACATAACTTCTATAAAGCAGTAGAAACCAATAATTCATTTAAGACATGGAGAAGATTCAGGTCTTAGATGGGCCAGTAGTCTGATCCAATGTGACAATTCTCATGTTGCTATGTTCCATTTCACCAAAAGTGCTTCTTCAAATCACATTTAGAGCAATGATTCACAGCTGTCACTGGACCTACAAAAGCAACAACAAACTCTTGCAAGGGTAAACATTTAGACACTCAAGTGTATAAATATCCAAAAACAACTAGCAAACTTGTAGAAGAGGGAAAATGCCATTCAGCATTATTATCAGAGATGAACTAAGTGAAAAATCTATTCTATATGCCCTGGTAATACTCTTCATTAGGTATCCTTTTGGTGCAAGTACAAAAAATATTTGCTTTCAGTGAAGGCTATTCTAGTTTAGATTAAGTCATTTTCTAGATGTGGTTTTCCCTTGCTCCAAATCGTGTTCCTGGGAACATTGCAGTTCCTTGGAAGCTTATTGATGGTTCCTCCATAAAAAGTTGGGTAATGGTGGACAAGCTTACCTAAAGACACCTAGCCCCTCATTGCCTGTCTGTCCTTCTAATATACAGGATGTATGCATTGAGGATACATGCGGAGCTCACATGTGGTGATGGTGAGTCTCCAAAAATTTGTGGCTAGAGAATAGCCCCCCAAATCTTCTCCAATGTGGGGGCTCCTTGGTCAGCAGTCAAGAGTTCGTTGGCAGACAAGTCAACGTAGGAGGTAGACCATTTCAAAACCACTGGGTCAGGCAACACACCAACTAATGAGTACCAAGGTTTCATTATACTCTTCATGAAAGATAATGTTCATTAATGTTCATTATTAATTAAATAAATGATGTTGATGGCAAAATAATCAAAATGTAACTAAAATGAAAAAAGAAACTACAGTGGTACCTTGGCTCACAAACTTTATCCATTCCAGGACTCTGGTCGTGACCCAAATTGGTCGTGAGCCAAGATAAATTTCCCCATAAGGTTCAATGTAAATAAGGTTAATCCATTCTGTAACTATTTTTTTAGATCAGAAAAATGTGAAGCAAAGTGACAAAGTACAACAAAGATCACAGCCATTCCCCCCCCCACCCTGAACACAAGTGCAGCCATCTCCCCGCCCCCCCAGCACAACCTTGATCACGCCTGTCATCCCGGCATGCTGGGGAGGGGGTAGACAGGTGTGATTGTGGGCGCGCTGGGGTGGGGAGAGAGGGGTGTGAATGCGGGCATGCTGGGAAGGGGGGAGACAGGCGTGAACGCGGGTGTGCTGGGAGAGGGGAGACGGGGACTATCGTGCTTGTGGGGGGAGATGGCCGAGATCGTGGCTGCGCTCATACAGGAAAGACGGGTGCAATCACAGGTGCGCTCGTGCAGGAAAGACAAGCACGATCTTGGCCATCTCCCCCCCCCCCGCCCCCAGCATGATCGCAGGCACCACCCAATGTGGAATTCATGACCTGAGTAATTTTTTTTATGAAATTTTTGTTGATAACCTGATTTGGTCATGCATTGAGGTGTTCTTGAGCTGAGGTACCACTGTGTAATGAAAAATGTGGAGTTAGAGTTTGCTAGAGTGCAAGGAAGTGAGCCATAGCTATTACTGGTCAGAATTCTTCACAAATGTGTGATAGACGTGAGGTTTCTCCTTTAAAAATTCTGAGTTCAGTGACATCAGACATTCTTCCCCAAGCACATCTGTCTTCAATTATAAGGTGATCCAATAGTGTGTGAGTGGGAGGAAGGAACCACTAAATTTAGTGTGTGTCTGTCAACATTACTGGACCACAGGATGAAGCCCATACAGCATCTCAAAGTGCAGAATAAGGTTTAAAGGATAACAAGACACTAGTGGTCAAACTGTGTGCTTGTGTGTTGGTGAGGAGGGAACAAGATTCCCCACAAAGCTTAAAGACCACCTTTTAGGACATTCCATATAAAACTGTAAAACAAAAAGCTTGTTGTGTTTACTTTTTATGTCTTATTTCTATAGCAATGCCAAGACCACCCTGGCTAGCACTTAAGCAAAGGAACTTGATCCACTGGAACTAATATATAGTCAGCAGGCTCTATTTAATGGTTTATACAGTGGTACCTCAGTTCACGAACGCCTTAGTTCATGACCAAATTGGGTCACAAACAGACATTCTGGCAAAATTTTGCCTCCGTTTGCAAACTCTGCATTGGGTGACAACCACGATCACAGCCATGTTCCCACACAAACGTGATCGCAATTACGGCCATCTTCTCCACATGAACACTCCAAACAATAATCTTCTCCCCACCCACAACAATAACCACAAGGGGGAGCCATGAGCTCTCACCTTGGTCAAGGCCTTCCCGGCGCCTCGCAACCGCCCCGCTTCCAAGCCGGAGGAAGGTCCCCTCGCAGGCGTCGCCTGGCTCCAGGAGGGGGAGCAGGAGCAGGAGGCTGGAGAGGTGAGTGCGTGGAGGTTCCCCCAGTTGGGAGAGGGCCACGAGGATGGAGGTAAGGGCTGCTTTCCACGGGCTGAGGCGAGGGATGGGGCTGTGGCCGGCCAAGCGGGGGGCCTCTCCCCGCCGCAGGGGGGGAAGAAGCATGGTGGCCACTTGGCAGTGGCAGCTTGCCCTGAGAAGGCCGCGGTGGAGGCACGGGAGTCATGGCCCTACTCCTGCTCTGCCTCGGCCCATCTGCCCCTGGGCTCGGTGAGGCAGCTGTGGCTTGTCCCACAGCCCAGGGACGTGGCTCATATTTTTGTGGTTTTAAAAAAATACGTATTTATTTATTCATTTATTTAAAACTTTTTGTATACCATCCTTTATGTATAACATAAAGTTATGGTTCAGAATGGATTAACCTTCTTTACATTGAAACTTATGGGGAAATTTGACTTGGTTCGCAAATAATTCAGGTCATGACCAGAATCGTGGAATGAATTAAGTTCGTGAACCGAGGTACCACTGTAGCAATATTCACTGAGTGTACAGAACTAATGAGTTAACTAAACACAGATGTGTTCACATGGTTTGAAATTTCCTAAAGAATAGCCCCTAGCAGAATGACATGGCTGCTAGAATGATATGGGTGATGTTAGTGACCATTACTGTCTGCTTTATTGTTATTCTAGGGCAGCAATGAGCTTAATGAAGCACTTCTGCAAAGCACAAACAATGCTAGGAAGATTCATCTCGTTCCATGCTACCTGAGAGAGAAATACGTGCTGCGTTTTGCAATTTGTGCTCGCACAGTGGAGTCTGCTCATGTCCAGTTTGCCTGGAATCACATCAAGAAGTTGGCCGGTGACCTTTTGAAAGCACAAAAGCAGCAGTAGTAATGGCTAAAAGCAGAGGATTTGGTCCAATGGAGGATTGAAGCACATCAAAACTACCAAATCCAGGGGAGATATAGATAAGAATGTACCAATCACTTTGCTGCATTAGGCCAAGATACATATAGTCCATTCTGTGTCCAACAGCAGCCTATGAGATGCCTTTGACAGCTCTAAAACAAGCCAGGAAAATGATGTCCTTCTCTTGCTATTTGCCTTTAGTATCTGGTATACAGCTGTATGAATTGCAATTCTATTAAGCAGTCCTGCTGAATAAGGCTTGCTCTGTTCTTCATAAATTTGCATATTTTGTTTAGTACATTAAGCTAGTGGCCATCACATTTTGTGGAAGAATGAAACAATACAAAGAATGTAAGGGAAAGAGGGGAAGGAGATAGTAAAAAAAAGTAGGTGACACTATTTCATGAGTTTAGAAATAGAGAAATCATTCTGGCTTGAGAAGCACACTTTAGGGTGCAAGACCAAAGGATAATTCAGAGTCCTACCCTTGGATAAGGCTTGTAGCTGGGACTCTGGATATGGAGTTTCCTCCCTCTCTGCAGACATCATGGGAAGAACCATGCTGGCTGCGACCCCGAGTTGAGGTCACAAGAGTGACCTTGGGAATGCACTTTTAGGAGGAAAGAAGGGAGTATCTGGCAGTGTTTCGAGTCTCCTTTTATGTTCTCCAGGGTGGAATACTTAAACAGCTTTGCCAGCTCTCAACTGTTTCAGTCTTCTGTAGGGTAGAAGCAACATGGAGGCGCTTTGCCTCACTGTTGCTTCAGCCCCCTGTAAGATGCCCATAAACCTCTGAGTTCAGAGGCTTACGGGCAATCTCACTGGACTGCACTGCCCAGGAACAGTCCTATGGCTTTTGGACAGCATCTGAAAAGCTATGGGATAGTTCAAGTTCCCAAATCTGAGGTTGGGAACAACAGTCTGATCTCAGAGCTGGGAAGAACTGCACTGGCTACTCTCTGAGGTTAGGAAAGCAACCTCTGAGAGAAGGAAAAGGGGGCAGGGGATGGGGCAGGGAGGGAAGGAGACTGGGGAGGCTGCAGCTGGTCCAGCCTCCTCCTCCTCCTCGGAGACACTCCAGCTATATAGTTGAAAAATAGTTTTTCTCTTAAATTGACTTTCTTCACTGCTGCAAATCACAGTGGAATCAGAGGAATCGGTTGCAGGAGCTGTTTCTCTGCTCAAAGCCACTGAAAGCAGGGTGTAAGCTAGCTGCCTTCCAATTTTTGTAGCTCCATAGTGGAGTAGGTAAGAAGGCAGTGCCACTGTTGCTTTCTGGTATGTCATCCTCACTCCTAAAATTGAGTTATCTCCACATTTTCTCCTTAGCTCCACCTTCTTTTTGAAGAAAATTCTCTCTAAGAAAATTAGGTCTAGACTTGCCTGCATCCCCTCCACCAGTGCATTTCCAAGATCCTGTCTAGGATATGTTTGCAGCATCACACACTCCAAGAAGCATGCTACCACCACTTAATTCCTGAACAAATAAGTATTTATAGACATTCAGGTATAGTTATCATAGGAGCACTACTTGGATAAAGAAGTCATTTTTGGATTATCTTATACCTTGCAATGGAGAAGGGATGAAAGGTTAGTTTGGGGGAAATTATATAACCCTGTCCATACATGCTTGTTGGCTTGGTAGCTTTGCAAATACAGAGGATCTATTGATGATACAGAGTCAGGATCACACCTCAAATGTCTGCCACCTTGATTTTAACTATGCTACAGTGAACAAATTAAGCTTTCTTTCATGCTAGCTTTTGTTGAAGTGAGTGTGCCTTGGCTCATGCCCTTGTGATACAAGTTTTGAGCTAGATTCTCACTGTTGTCAAATGTGCCAGTGTGTATGTTTGCAGTAGGAAATGTTGATTCATATTTCAATATCTGAGTAGGTGCCTTTGTTGACTTCCTCAGTAGTGTCTCTGCAGGATGGGATCTAAGGGAATGCTTAGCCCTCAAGAACCTAGGCCTTGTTTTCACTAGAGTTGGAAATCCATGCCTTGTAACTGCAGGGAGAAGGATATTGCATCTTTTGATTGCTTTTTCATGTAGATCGTTATCCCTGTGCTAGATGTTGGAGACCAGCTGGGCTAGGATCTTTATTACTAATTTTTGAATTTTTGATGTGAACATTTTCTTGCCCCAGTCATAGAAGACTCTGCTTGAAATGGTAAGCCATACTGTATGGCTTAGCATCTCACTGATTAATCTAGGGAACATACAGAATAACAGTGAGCTTACTTTCAGTCCTTACGATCAAGTGTATTTGAGAACACTGCTCCTGTATCTTCAGTACGTGTGCATGTCAAACCGCACATTCCTCAACTCTCTTAAATCATTGACAACATAGGAAGTCTGTTAAGCAAAATGCTACAAATAGTTTACGCTGGATTCATATTCCCATCTCCAGATAAATGCAATTGACATTTATGGTTACTAAGCTTTAAACTTTCTGCACCCCAGGCTGAAAATCTGTGGGGTGCTTCCTACTCCCACTAAGAGTAGGAACACTCCAACTGCTTCTGAGCATTTGCAGAATATCTTTATTTTGTGAAGATGGCTAGAATGGCTTAAAATGGGTAAAGGAACACAGTGCTTTACCTCCTCCAGTGAAGGGAATAAAAATAAAACAGATGCTAGCAATTGGGAAGCTACAACAATGGTACAAATATGCAATATTTTCTCTAACCTTTAGTTTCTCTCTTCCTCTTTTTTTGGAGGGGGGAGGAACCTGATTAGTCAGGTTGTGAAAGGTAACATGATTCAAGCCCATTGCAACTTAGAGGCTAAGAGCAGGGCTTTTGGTTTATAAACTATAACTCACACTGGCTAAAGGAGACCACATAGACTAGCATATTACTGGTAGACCATTCAGACCAGCAAGGAAACCGCAAGAGATCAGAGCTGGTCATTTGATATCCTCCCTCCTTTAAGAGCTCCTGGGCCAGGCTCCTGCCCAAGTCTGAGGAACAGCTCTTCTGCTGCTTGTGTGTGTGTGTGTAGAGGGGGGCGGTGCCTCCCAGTTGACAGGATATCATGCTGATGCTGGCAGTGGTAGCTGTATTGGAAAGGTTGAAGAAGGGAAAGAAAGGGGAAGCATGCATGTTCAGTTCCCTATATTTTGGTCACCTTCCACACAGCTGCATACTAAATTAGCCCAGCCAGCTCCTACAAGCCATGCTGGACTCTGCTTCTCCTCACTACTGCTAGTATAAATGGAACACAGGTGGTAGGATTATGATACAGTGGTACCTTGGCTCATGAACTTAATCCATTTCAGGACTCTGGTTGTGACCCAAATTGGTCGTAAGCCAAGTCAAATTTCCCCAAAAGGGTCAATGTAAATAAGGTTAATCCGTTCTGCAACTATTTTTTTTACTCACAAAAATTTGAAGCAAAGTGACAAAGAACAGCAAAGATCACAGCCATCTCCCCCTCCCAGCGATCGTGTGGAGGGGTGGGGGGAGATGGGTGTGATTGTGGGCATGCTGGGGGGGGGGAGGTGGGTGTGGGCGGGAGGCAGGCGTGGATGCACTCAGCAGGGAACACTGGCACAATCGTGGCCATCTCCCCGCAGCATGAATGTGGCCATCCCCCCCCCCCGCCCACTGGACCATGATTGTGCCCATGCAGGGAAGGCAGGCACGCTCGTGATTGTCACCCGATGCAGACTTTGTGACCTGCAGCAAAATTTTTATGAAATTTCTGTTCACATCCCGATTTGGTCGTGAACTGAGGCATTCATGAGCCGAGGTACCACTGTATAATGGAGCCCTCCCCAAGCTGTGGCTAGGAATTTCAACCCAACTCATCAAGAGGGCCGCAGCTTCGAGAAGGCTGATACAGTGAAATACCATGTTAACACTTCTGGTTCTGGTCACCTTGTTGGCCCTGCAGTAGCCTGCAAAGTTCCCATATCCTGTGCAAATTCACAGCCATCCTTTTGCTATGACTTCACATATTCAGCAGGGTGAAATTTGGCACTGAAGGATACCAGGTCTAACCTTTGCTGATTTGCTGCTGAGAACAAGGCTTGGCTCCATCACCACTGGCATTACGTGCTAAAAAGCCTATGTCAAAACCAAAGCACTTCAACATCAAGTAAGAGCAGCACAACATAGTAGTTAAAATAATCAGACTAAGACTGGGGGGCTGTAGGTTCAAATCCTCATTCACCCATGAAGCTCACTGGATGATCTGAGCTAGTCAAGATTGCTTGCCTATCCTTCCTCTGAGGTTTGCTGGGAGGATAAAGAGTGTGTGTGCTGGGAGGATGAAGAACCACTTATGATAACTTGAATTCCTTTAAGATAGCACCAAGTGTGATGGGGTAGAAATGCAAGACATATTTCAAGGGAAAGCATTTTTAGTAGCAAAGGAATTCATACGTTTCAGGCTATAGCACCTGCACAACAGAGAAGTTTTCCAGTATCCCATACTGTTATCCCACTGTGATGTTCCGGATTTTACAACCTATCAAAGCTAATAGTCATAGACTGGGAATGTTTATAGGTGGAAAAGCAACTGCTTTGTGTGCCTTTTCTCTAGGTGAGGACCTTTCTAGGACAGCAGCCTTAATTGAGGACCTTTCTAATCTGTTCTCTCTTCCTATAGCCACAGGATTTATTTTATTTAAGCCTAAACTTAAATGCATCACTTGCATTTATGTCAGTGTCTTTTAAAAATTTTAAATTGAACCAAGAATATACATCTCAATATGGATCTGGATCACACCAGGTGGGGAAGAAATTTAAACTCTTTCTTCGCCTGCTACAATCATGAAAAATGTCCCCACCCCTGCAGTGTATTGTTTTTTAAAATCTGCCACTGATACTGATGGGAGCTATTTTTCTTATTCCTATTTGCAGTACATGGAGGGTTTCCTTTTCCTTTAGGATTGTGGCAAGGAAGAACTTTTCCATGCTGCAGTGGATTAGGTTGCACCATTGTCTTAATAACAATAACCCTGACATTGCTTTAAGGGACACAATATGATTTTTACCTTTTCTGACAGAACACTTGTGTTTTTACTGTTGCTTTGGCTGGCAGAAGTCTAGCCACTTGAAGATATTCCTGTTGTTGTACATCCAAGCAGAAAAAAACTTGGAACATTTCTGAACAATAACACTGTCAGGAAAACAAGGAGACTGCCCTATTAATAGTGCTAAAATATGACAAATTCTCAACACATCTAATGTGGCTTGGTTGATAGTTAAATTAATTTTTGGTGTGATCATATTGTCTTGCTGAACAATACAAGCATTTCTTGTAAAATGTGTAAACCTTAAAGTAAACCCATTATCCAACACCATTTTCCTACATATACAGTGGTACTTCGGCTCATGAACTTAACCCTTTCCACGACTCTAGTCGCTACCTGAATTGGTTGCGAGCCAAGTCAAATTCTCCCATAAGGTTCAATGTAAATAAGGTTAATCCATTCTGACCCCTACAAACATGGTTGCAAGCCGATTCTGGTCACGAGCCAAGTCAAATTTCCCCATAAGGTTCAGTGTAAATAAGGTTAGTCTGTTCTGTAAATAATTTTTTTATTATAAAAATTTGAAACAAATTAACAAAGAACAAAAAAGTAACAAAGTACAGTAGAGAACACTAACCTAGGTGGGGGGGTGGGGAGGTTAATGTTTGAAGGGAGAGTCCAAACCATAATCGTGCAATAGCGATCGTGCTGCGGGGGGAGGAGATGGCCGCGATCATGGGCGGGCTCGTGCAGGGAAGACGGGCACAATTATGGGCGCGCTTAGAGGGGAGACAGGTGCGATGGGGGGGAGATGGGCATGATCGCAGTCGGGCAGGGAAGATGGGCATAATCACGATTGTCACCTGATGCAGAGTTCGTGACTGAGTCAACATTTTTCTGAAATTTCTGTTCACAACCCGATTTGGTCAGTTCATGACCAAATCAGGTTGTGAGCAGAAATTTCAGAAAAATGTTGACTCAGGTTGCGTACTCCACATCAGGTGACAATCGCGATTGCACCCATCTTCCCTGCCCAAGCGCGACCGTGATCGTGTCCATCTCCCCAGAAGCATGCCCACAACCTTGCCCATCTCCACCCCCTCTAGTGTGCCCACGATTGTGCCCATCTTCCCTGTGATTAAAAAAATATTTACAGAATGGATTATCTTTATTTACATTGAACCTTATGGGGAAATTTGACTTGGCTCACAACCAGTTTGGGTCGTGACCAGAGTCATGCAATGGATTAAGTTTGTGAGCCAAGGTACCACTGCATTTCATTCAAAGATTTATTTTATATTGTATGACTGGTAGACTAGAATCCATGGTGCCTTTTCATCAAAAGCTCACAAAGCTGCTGAAATTATTGTTAATTGCAACTGCATAAATGTGCTTCAGCAGAAACTCCCTACCAATACAAATTAGGCACACATCAACCCTTCTTAGTTTTTGGCACCTACTAAAAACATGCCAAAGGTAATAATGTATTCTGTGTGAAGACTTGTTTTGTACATCAATTAGACATTCCTTTAATGTGGTTAATAAATAAACTTAAATAAAAGTCAATATATAATTGCTGACAAGGTAAAATTTGAAGAAAATGTTACTGGTTTCACATTGCAGTGTTTTCTTCTTTTATAAAACAATATTCTTTGTATTGTAAGGAGAGATTATAAATGAATATATTTTAAAATAGATATTGATTCTGCTTTTGCTAAGATGTATGGTGATACAATGCTCTGCATTAAAATTGATGTAGCAACATTGCATTTCTCTAGTCCATTCTTGCCTTCAATATTCACTTAAAGATTTTTGCCATGCTAATTAAATTAATGGTTGTTCTTGTACTAAACAGACTCACGACTGATAGAGGAAACCACAAGGGGACCTTAATAAACTTGTCCCTTGTTTTAAATGTGCCTCCTGCTAAAGAGACTATGTGTTCCATTGTAGCTGGTGTCTACTGGGGTTCATGGGGTAGAGAGTAGGACAGCCAGGAGAAGATGGCCCCAAGAGATCTCAGAAGAAAGGCCAGGTGAAACATGAGTTCAAAGCAGAAGGGGGGGGGTGGATGGCAGGGGACCACCCTAAAAGAGCAGTATTTCGAACTCACATTTGCCTCCTCCACCAGTCAGTCATTGCACAAAAAGTTCAAACTGAAGCATGAAAATTTACTTTTAAGTTCTGGAGTTGAGGTAAGAGGGTTGGAGTATCTATGAGCCATGGAATAACACCAAAACACTTTAAGCTCCATTTTTTTTGCTCCATCAGCAAGATACTGCACACACAAGGGAAAGTGGGGCAAATGAGTTCAATATTAGAACAGAAGTACAGTGGTACAGCTCACAAACTTAATCCGTTCCAGGACTCTGGTTGTGACCCAAATTGGTTATGAGCCAAGTTAAAGTTCCCCATAAGGTTCAATGTAAATAAGGTTAATCCATTCTGTAACTATTTTTTAAATCAGAAAAATGTGAAGCAAAGTGACAAAGAACAAGAAAGATCGTAGCCATCCCCCCACCCACCACCCCAGCACAACCACGTTTGCACTCATCGTCCCTGCACGCGCCCGTCTTCCCAGCACGCTTGTGGGGGGGATGGGTGCAAACGTGGGCGCGCGTTGGGCAGGAGACAGGCGCAAATGCGGACGCACTGTGGGGGCGAGATGGGCGCAAACGCGGTTGCGCTCATGCAAGAAAGACGGGCACAATCACGGACACGCTCGTGCAGGAAAGACGGGCGTGATCTCCCCACTCCCACCACAAGAGAAGATTTTTCTCTTCTTTCTAGGAGAAAAATCAATGTTATGTTGGCTACTGGACAGTAATCCTATGTCCTCATCTTTGGAATAAGCCCAAGTGAACACAATGGTATCAAAGCAAGCCTATACATGTTTACTTATTTTTAAGGACTACTGTGTTCAATTAGGATTCTTTATTTGTAAATTTAGGATTGTATCCCTGAGGCTAAGCCCCACTGAACTCTGTGAGATGTCTGAGTAGACAGACATACAACTGCAATGTCAATATATTCAGATAATGAAGATAGAGGTGAAACTGTTACATTGATAACATTACAAAGATTCTGTTTATGTACAACTACAAATAATCAGTTTTACAGAAAAGTGTTTCAAGTTTCTGCATTTTTATGCATCTCCGTATCTCCAAGAAGAGAAACATGGCCGTAAGGTAAGCAAGCTGGCCCCTTACCACTGCCAGAGATGGAGCTGCTGCAGAAGTGTATTTCCCCCAGCTCTGAGCAAGAGAGAAACACTGTCAGTTGGCCTGAGTTGGCAAACTTTGGCAGCACCATTAGCCAAAGGGCCGGACATTACCGGGGCAGCGTGGAGGGGCTGGGGATAATACCTTCTGCCTCCCAGGAACAACATCATGGCAATGGAGCACCCAGCAGGGCTTCACAGATTCAGAGAAAGAGCACTTGCTTTCCTCTTCCCTCCCCATTCCCTTTCCTTTTTGTAGAGCACCTCAGACCCCTGCCCCCCCCCCAGATTTTCTCCACTGCCTACATTTTTAGCCACCTAGAACCCTTCAAATGTTTCGGGCTACAATTGCCATCAATCCCTGCCAGTATAGCCATTGGTAAGGAATTCCGGGAGTTACTATCTTAAACATCTGGTGGGCACAAGGATAGGATAACAAGGCCACTCTTATTTCGAAGAAAAGGCAGCTGAGGCGAGGTGATCAAACAATAAGCAGAGAATCTCGGTTTTTTCTTTTCCTTTTCCCTGTGCGGCAGCAGCGGCCGAAGAAGGGTACAGGGATCCAGGCTCCCGTCTGCCTACCAGACCCTGCAGTTCCACCTGCTCGGAGTCGCGTAGCAAACCCAAGAAGACAGCAGATGCTCCTGCTTCTTTTCTTACCGCGGAAAATTTGTTCAGGAGGAAACGATGGAGAGGCAGCAAAGTTATCTTTGGGAGGGTGGCGCTTGGAACTATCTGCCTGGAAACAAGCGGCGTTATGTCCAAAGCAGAGCGAGTAGTGATCTCTTCCTCTTCCTCCAACATCCCCACCTGGATAAGGATCTAAGCGTGGGAGACTTCCCTCGCCCCCCACCCCTCGGTCCCGATCCTGCAATATTTATTACCAAATGGTTTAAGGGCGCGATTCTGGGCATATTAAGATAGAAAGCGAAAGCCGGCACTTCCCAGCATTCCCCAGCCAGCGCGGAGGCGGAGGACCGCTTTGTCTCTTCACGTGCATAGCACCGCATCCTGAACGCCACCTCGTAAGGAAAGTTTGGAAAAGTAGCTCGAGGCAGGAAAGAAGCCCAAGAGGCACCAAGCTCTACCCAGAGTCTTGAGGCACCCTGATATTTATATCGTGAGTTGAGCTTTATGAAACTCAAAGTCTCCAGAATACTCCCCATGCATGTCATGGCGGGCGCTATCGGCTTCATGCCGAAGTAAATGCTCGTCAAACTGCCACAAGACTCACGCATTTCACGGCGAAAGACGCCCACGACTGCACCAGAGCCGTGAAAACGAAACGCGCCTTCCGCGAGAGCGGCTGGAACGCCCAGCGGCGCCTACGCGCCTCCCTTTCCGGAGAGAGCGCGAGAAGGCGGGTCGCAGAAGCGCCGCTTATTGGCTTAGGCAAGCACGTCGCTGCCTGTGGAATCAATTTGCCGCAAAGGGCGGGGCTTGGGTTGTCAATTCTGGCGCGCGGCGGCCCCGCGGAGTGGAAGAAGTTTACTGAGGTCCCGAAACTGTCTTCTGGTTCGTAATTACTCGGGCCCTTCCCCCCGCGTCGTCCCCGTCCCTATCCCTGGTTCGCCTCAGGAGTGGGAAAACGCGGCCCTTCCTGTGGCCTCGCCCTCTCCCCGCCGCTTGCGTGGGCTCACTGCTTACCGATCTCCAGTTTGCGGGCAGGAATATCGCGAGTGCTGCTATTACCTGCGTAGGGAGAGTGCAATAAATACGCAAAGATCTCATTTACTGAAATACTTCCTGGGTGTGTTTTGAGCATGCTGTACAGTGGGCAGCTCAGCTTTGCTCTGCCACATAATCGCAAAATTTTGCTGCCTCCTGTAACATTTCATGCCAAAGCAGCAGCAAGAAAATCCCAATGGAACTTGTATACTCAGTTGCCATCGCCTGTTGTAGTATGAGGTTAGCTTGCCTTTAGTTGTGTGCTTAGTCTTTTCTGTGCTTTTCAGATCTCAGCTAAAATGCTCTAGATATTGCAGACAATTTCTCTCATGAAGAAAGTGCTGCTTGATGCCTTTTTGTATTCAGAAAAATTGCATGTTGGTCTAGGGGATGCAGTGCCTCAGCTCTATTGTGAGCTCCTGAGCAATTCCACCCACACTCATTTTTAGCATGTGTGCTTCCCTCCACTTGGAAAATGTAACATGTGGATAATCATTTTGGTCTATCTTATAAGATAATGTCAGATGTACTAAGACTGCAATCCTAAAATAAGGCAGGGTTAAATGGAGTGCAACCCATATCAAAGTAACTGCATATTGACTAAGAAGCAAGTCCTGTTGAGTTCAGTGTGTTTATTCCTATGAAAGTTAGAGGGACTTCTGAATCAATATGCTTAAGATTCCACTGTTAATGAATGCACGTGATTCCTGTTGAGACCTTTGGACAAGTTGTAAAGCATAGAATCATAGAATAGCTGTCAGAGGGGTCCAAGAAGGTCATCAAGTCCAACCCCCTCCTGGTGCAGGATGCCAGTTTACAGTATCCCACTCAGATAACTATTTTCTTCTTGAACTCTAGTGTGGAAGAGCACACAGCCTATCTTGTCAGCTGGTTCCACTATCATATTGTTCTTACAGTTAGGAGAGTCTTCCTTGTGTTCACCCTGCACTTGGTATACTCTAGTATGTGTCCTGCAATCTGGGATGAGTGAAAATAGGTCTTTTCCTTCTTTGCGACAGCTTGTGTAGAATGCTATCATGTCACTTTGTAGTCTTCTTTTCTCAAGGGTGAATAGGCCTAATTCTTTCAGCCTCTCATCATAAGACTTATTTTCCAGGCTCTGTATCATCTTTTTTGCTCTCCTCTGAACCCTTTCCAGATTATCAGCATCCTTTTTAAACCTGGGGGCCCAAAACTGAACACTGTATTCCAGGTGAGGTCTGACTGGTGCAGCGCAGAGGGGAATGAGTACTTATTTTTCGGAAAGTGATACCTCTGTTAATGCATCCCAAAATAGTTTGCCTTTTTTGTAGCTGTATTGCACTGCTGGCTAATATATAGCTTGTAGTCTCCAACAACTCCAAGGCCCCTTTCATTCTCAGTACTGTTGAGCCAAGTATTCCTCATTTTGTATCAATGCAGCTGATTTTATTTTGCCTAGGTAGAGAACTTGGCATTTAAATGGATGTACACAGATGTGGATGATGAATGTTAAACGTACTTTGAAAACAACATTGCCTTCTGGCAATTTAGAAATGGTCAAATATTTAATGCCTGAATTTAATATCAAAAACAGCAATCACTTAGTAATAACATAAATGAGTACAACCCATTAATACAACACAGAAACAGTTCTTTCTAATATGAGAAGGTTATGTACTCAATGTGAATTAAAGAATATTTTTGTATCTGCACACAAACATGATTAAGAGTACTCAATCTACAGTGGTACCTTGGCTCACGAACTTGATCCGTTCCAGGATTCTGGTCATGACCCAAACTGGTCATGACTCAAGTCAAATTTCCCCATAAGGTTCAATGTAAATAAGGTTAATCCGTTCTGTAATCAATTTTTATCACAAAAATTTGAAACAAAGTGACAACAACAAAGTACAGTACAGTAGAGAACACTAACCTAGGTGGGGAGGGAGGTTATTGTTGGGAGGGAGAGTCCAAACGATAATTGTGCGATAGCGATTGTGTTCGGGGGCGAGATGGCAGCGATCACACAAGGAAGATGTGCACAATCATGCTCAGAGTGGGGGAGATGGCCACGATCGTGCTTGTGCAGGGAAGATGGGCACGATCACGGCCATCTCCACCCCCCCCCCCGAGCATGACCACCATTGCTCCTGTCTTCCCTGCACGATTGTGCCCATCTCCCAAGCACGATCGGGAAGACGGGCACGATCGCCGTCGTCACCCAATGCGGAGTTCACAACCTAAGGCAAAAATTTACCAAAATTTCTGTTTGCGACCTGATTTGGTTGTGAACTGAGGAGTTCGTGAGCCAAGGTACCACTGTATTGCTGGGTTGAAGGTTACTTTCAAATAAAATACTCAATGTCTATTTGAGTCCTCCTCGTATTTATGAAATAAAAAGCCAAACTTAAATTATCCACCTGCAGCAAACCAAACATGCCACCTGCAGCAAACCAAAAATGACCTCTGCTTCTCTGTGCCCTCATCCTTTTATCACGTGTACTGGAGGGTGCAGTCAGCTGTCAATCTGAATAAAAAAAGGACTAATTGATACTTTCATACAGTAAGTAGAGTTTCTGCAGTGCAACAAATATAAATAATAGTCTGGTGAAATATTGAACAAACATCCCTCTCCCAATGTGACAATGTTGCTGGAATTTTTATAAGAATCTTCTTAAAACAAGGAAGTAGATCTATAGCTTCATTATGATTTAGCTGCAGCTCTTGTTCAGTCACTAAAAATTGTTATTTTTAATCTTACATTATAAACTAGTAGGATTCCTTTCATATATTTTGAACAGGAGAACAGCTTCCTGCAGAGTCAAAGTCAGTGCTAAAGGGCTGCATGCATTAAACAGCAAACCCCATAAGTTCGTCAGCAGTAAAAGCAAATGAATCTACCCACGTACCATTAAACGTTCAGTTTTCTTCAGAAACTTTTATTTTCTTCGATTTATCCATGGTTGACCTATTGGGGAAAAAGCTCAGTAAATCAGCGTGGGTCACAGATCTGTGGCTGTGCCGGAGATATAGGTGTGTTTAGTGGCTGATTAGCAGATAAACAGTCAAGTGATGTGAATTGTGATAGGTCCCAAGGGCAGCTTTTAACATTCAGATGAAGAAGATTACATTTGGACAAAGAGAATCTTTTCAGCAGAAAGCCTAACATGAGAGCCTAACACGAGAGACTGCAGGAAGCTTGTTCCACTCTTTCCCTGCACAATAGCAGAGGAATGTAGCGATTTACGTAACCAGCTAGCGGCGCGTTCCTGAGTGGATCTTTGGTCGCAGATTGGGGCTGTTTTGAGCGACGGAGCTGCAGCAGAGGGATTCAAGAGCCACTTGTGGCTCTGGAGCCACGGCTTGCTGACCCCTGGCCTAGGTGAATTAAACTTCAGGAGAAGGGAGTGTTAGGGTCACTTCTGGAAGGGGTCTTAGTGCATAAGAGGAAAGCTGGTATGAGAAACAGCAGTTTGACTGTAGTGCTCTCCAGGAATGTGGGCAAAATTCATGCCCTTGCTAATACACTGTACTATAAAGTGTTTGAATTATAGGATGCTGCTTAAAGAAATAAGAGATTATTTTCATGGTTGTTTGAAATACTTGTAAAGTATATCATGGTGGTCAAATAACTGGCAAACATTAAAGTACTGTTTTGATTGTTTCTTTGTTAGCTAGGCCAATGTTACAGGCAACCCATTTCTCCCTTTCTTATCACCACACTTTTTGTCTATTTTTCTGTAGATCATGCAAACCAATAGCCCCAGTGACATACACCTGAATGAATGGCAGAAGAATTACTTTGTTGTTACTTCCAGTACCTGTACACCAAGACAGAAGGCAGATGCATATCGTGCACAGATTTTACACATTCAGTATGCATGGGCAAACTCAGAGATTTCCCAGGTTTATGCTTCCAACCTGTTCAAAAAATTTGCAGAAAGATACTCTGCAGTTATTGACTCTGACAATGCAGAGACTGGCTTGAATAACTATTCTGAAAACATTTTAACTTTGGCAAGATGTCAGCAAAGTGATGGTGACAAATGGCAATCTGCTTTGACAACAAGTAATGTGATGGAGTTGAAGTGTGTTCAAGAGATGATGCAGGCTGGCAAAAAGTTCCAGAGCTCTCTGGTGACACAAGCAGATGTAAGCATTGATAAAGAGGTCACCGCCTTTGTTCCTTTGACTCTTTCCAAACAGACTTTCTGCAGTGGTGAAGGAGAAGCTTTTCTTGGGACTGGCTCATCAAGTTGTATAAATCAGGGACTGGATAAACTTGGGACACCTACAGCTTTGAAACATCATCAAAATGTTATACTTTCTTCAAACAAGGCAGGAGTTGTGCATTCTTTTTCATCTTTGCTTTTAAGTAAAGAGTCCGATGTTACTTCTTGTATAACTCCTTTATTTGGAAACAGTGGATTAGCAACTAATAGTTCTCTGACAGCCACAAATAATTCTTACTTTGGGCAAGATTCATCAACTTCCTCTCAATCAAGTTTCCCTCCAGGGTTGGGAAAAAGAAAAGCATGTTTTGTATTCAGTGAAGAATGTGCTAATACATCTTCTGGTCTCATTCCTAATAAGTCAGTTAATAAAGAAGGAAAGAACTTTGCAGGGAGTAAAAGCACAAACAGCGAGAACAAAGCATTTGGTTTCAAAACTGCAAAAGAACAACTCTGGGTAGACCAGCAAAAGAAAGACCGAGCCCAAATTCAGCGTGCAACATTCCTATCATATGGTGGTACAAAAAAGTCTTTGGGAGCTGGAAGGTCTCGAGGTCCATTTGGAAAGTTTGTCCCTCCAGTGCCAAAACAAGATGGAGACATGGGAGTGCAGTGCAAATCTTTTGGAACTACATCTACAGAACTGGCTTGTCGAACAGATGAGCGCTTAAAAAATGTAGAACCAAAAATGATAGAACTCATTATGAATGAAATCATGGACCACGGGCCTCCAGTAAACTGGGATGACATTGCTGGAGTTGAGTTTGCAAAAGCAACTATCAAGGAGATAGTAGTGTGGCCTATGTTGAGACCAGACATTTTTACTGGCTTACGGGGTCCTCCAAAAGGTATTCTTCTGTTTGGTCCCCCTGGTACAGGAAAGACTCTCATTGGTAAATGTATTGCATGCCAGTCTGGGGCCACATTTTTTAGCATCAGTGCCTCATCACTGACCTCCAAGTGGGTAGGCGAGGGAGAAAAAATGGTTCGTGCATTGTTTGCTGTGGCACGATGCCAGCAGCCGGCAGTGATTTTCATTGATGAAATTGATTCTCTCTTGTCCCAGCGTGGAGATGGAGAACATGAGTCTTCCAGAAGAATAAAAACTGAGTTCTTAATCCAACTAGATGGAGCAACAACCTCTTCTGAAGACCGTATATTAGTTGTAGGAGCAACCAACCGACCACAGGAGATTGATGAGGCTGCCCGAAGGAGACTGGTAAAGAGATTGTACATCCCGCTTCCTGAAGCTTCTGCCAGAAAGCAAATAGTGTCTTGTCTGATGTCAAAGGAGCATTGCTCCCTAACTGAAGAGGAAGTGGATCTCATTGTTAAAAAATCAGAGGGGTTTTCTGGAGCTGACATGACTCAGCTTTGTCGAGAAGCCTCACTAGGCCCCATCCGCAGCCTTCAGGCTGTTGACATTACAACTGTCACACCCGAGCAAGTGCGATCCATTGAGTTTCAAGACTTTGACAATGCTTTAAAAACTGTTCGCCCCAGTGTGTCCTCCAAAGATCTGGAATTGTATGATACCTGGAATCAAACCTTTGGGTGTGGAAGATAAGGGGAATTAATTTGTGTATTTAAGTTACGTGGTTGTTTCAATTTTGAGCCATTTCCATTTTTAAAATAATCCTGGTGTTCTAATAAATACAAAGAAGTAGTTGATTTGTGCATATTTTTGCTGTGTTTCCTGGGTCATCTTTGCAGATAGATTGCTTAGCAAGAAACACTCTTTTGAGATGGATTTGTGCGTGCCTAGGGAATATTCTTATGACTGCTTGCTCTGCTTATTCCACTGACTCATGGATTGGGAGATAATGGATCCCATGCTATATCCCAGCACAAAGGGTCACTAAGAAAATTGTAAATTTACAAAAATACCTTGTATCAATGCACACTGCTTTTAGAGATGGAACTCTGAGATCAGGTACAGCTTTTTATCTGTTATGTTAAAATCTTAGGCAGTTTCTAGGTAGTTCACATTTGATGGAAGAGCAAAGGACAAATATGGAATACAAAACTGTTACAAACTGTACAACATTTTAAAAGCTTTTAAAAATGGTTTTAACTTTAATTCTAGGAACATTGCCTTTAATAATAACTTTTCTTACCCAAATAAGCAATACTAAGTGCCACAGTAGAAAGGAGCAGAGGGAGCAATCTGAGGCTGGTGTTTTGTTCTCTCATGAGAACAGATCAGCAGGTGTGTCTTGTAGTTCCTGGCTTTCCCATTTCAATAATTTATTTTGAATTGCCAATATGTTTCCTACAAAACGGGATTTTTTGTCTAATTACTATTTTTTTCAGTTCCCATCTATGATTTGAAGTGATACATTATTATTCCAGAACAAGATTTTGTTTGTTTCTTTGTTTTTTCTGCTGCCCAACAACCAAAGCTCTGAGCAGTTCACAGCAGCACATTAAAAATACATTAAAATATATTAAAGCATCATAGAAAGTGTACAATACAAAATTTAAAACCAAGTTTAAAACAGATGCATATACAGCTAAACCTCAACTTTCTCAGGTTTAACTTTTGTGGATTTGACTATTCACAAGTTTGCCATCAATAATTAAAAAAAAAGTGGGGGGAGGGTTGGCAGTTTTGCAGCCTACTGAGGCCTACTGCCTACTGCTCCACAGACAGCTGTGTGGGGAAGACCGCCCACTTCACTGACGCTGCCGCATCCACAGCTGACCCAGAATCATGTGCCACCCCCTGGCGAGGGTGGGGCAGGCTCCAGGCTCAGGACCAGCCCTGTGTGAGGCTCACAATACAGGATTCGCTTTCCTGAAGTGGCTGCACTGCAGCACATTAGGTCTTATTTTAATCTAATGTTTATTCAAATTATGAAAGAGGTAATTGCACTGCAGCTACCAATACACATATGGTCAGCAGTATTTAGAGTTAAAGCTTGCAATGGAGTGGAGGCTAGAGATATGCATGATTTTTGCGGGGGTTCTGCACCCCTAACCCTTGCAAATGTGGAGTGCTGACTGTATATAATAACTTCAAAAAAATCTTAAGACCTGTTGAGCATCTATCAGGCCCCAGTAGAGTATTTGAATGACAGTCTTTGCCTGGTGCTCCAAAATAGTCAAGTTGATGCCAGGCAGGCCTCAGTGGGGAAGTTTGTTCTATAATGGGCAGGGGGGGCGGGGCGGGACCAGTGAAAAAGTTCTTATCATCATCCAAGTCTCCCTTGGAGACGGCAGGCAGCGGTAGGCCTCAGAACTTGATTGTATTGTCTGGATAGATGAACATTGGGAGAGGCATTCCTTCAGGTGTCATGGTCCCAAGTGGTATTAAAACCACCTTGCATTTGGCTTGGAGGCATATAGGCAGCCCATGCAAAGGGGTCAGAATTGGTGTTACGTGATCAGACAGTCTGAACCCTGTTGTTAGTTTGGTTGTTGCATTTTCCACAAGCTGCAGTTTCTGAACAGTCTTCAAGGGCATAGAGTGCATTGTAGTAGTCTAGTTTAGAGATTACCAGAGCATAGATCACTGACAGCAGGCTGTCTCGGTCCTGATAGGGGCATCAAGTGACAAAGATGGCTCAAGGAGCACCTCCAAGCTATGAATTTGTTCCTTCAAGGAGAGTGCAGTTCCATTTAGAACCTGTTGAATTCCCTCTGGTCAAAAGAACCACACACTAATAACATCTCAGTCTTATTTGAATTGCACTTCAGTTGGTTAGCCCTCACCCAGTCCTTTGCTGTGGCCAGGCACCAGTTCAGCACATCCATAGCTTCATCTGCTGAAGATGAAAAAAAAAGAGCTGTGGGTCACCCGCTTCTCTTTTGAAAATCCTGTTTACTTCTTAGAGTGCAGTTCATTGGGCTGCCAAATTTGCTGGGGGGCATAGGATTAGTAGGAGCCCCAGTTCTGAGGTTCTGTAACTTTGGAGCTAGGGTTCTGAAGGCTGAGCCTCTTTCCCACCTTCCTCGCAGGCAGTGAATATTTTGAATATTTCCCCAGTAGTCTAGCTGCTGATGAACATGCAAAAGAGCATCTGAGGAAAAAGAGTTTTGACAGTTCATGGTGTGGGAACCTAACAAGTTTCAGTTGCCCTAAAGTGCTGCTTGGTGGTGGTCTAGGTCAGTGGTTTTCAACCTTTCCACAGCTGGGACCAGTGAAATCAGGAAGCGGCCTCAGGGACCTTGTATTAGCGTTTTAGCTCTCAAGAAAGTGCAGAGAATTCATTTTCATTAATTTTGTGCTATGTTGAAAAAAGCAGGCAGATAGTTAAGAAATCCATATCCATAAATACAACCAAAACTTTCCATAACAAAATTTATATAGTTTGTTAACTCCTCCCAAAAGGAATCAACTATTGGGCACTGCCAAAGCATATGAATAAGAGAAATATTAGCTGTACTGCACCTCCAACAATTATTCATTTTAATTATACCCTTTTTGAAAAGATGTTTGTTGTTGTTAGTGGCGAAGTCGTGTCCGACCCATCGCAACCCCATGGACAACATTCCTCCAGGCCTTCCCGTCGTCCACCATCCCCCAGAGTCCACTTAAGCTCACACCTACGGCTTCAGTGACTCCATCTAGCCACCTCATCCTCTGCTGTGCCCTTCTTTTGCCATCTATTGCTCCCAGCCTCCCTTCTCATTAGGTGGCCAAAGTATTTGAGTTTCATCTTCACTATCTGGCCTTCTAAAGCACAGTCAGGGTTGATCTCCTCTAGGACTGACTGGTTTGATCGCCTTGCGGTCCAAGGGACTCGCAGGAGTCTCCTTCAGCACCACAATTCAAAGGCCTCATTTCTTTGGCGCTCAGCCTTCCTTATGGTCCAACTTTCACAGCCATACATTGCAACTGGGAAAACCATGGCCTTGACTATACGCACTTTTGTTGGCAGGGTGATGTCTCTGCTTTTAATATGCTGTCTATATTTGCCATAGCTTTCCTGCCCAGGAGCAAGCATCTTTTAATTTCTTGGCTGCAATCCCCATCTGTGGTAATCTTGGAGCCCAGAAAAATAAAATCTATCACTACCTCCATTTCTTCCCCATCTATTTACCAGGAAGTGAGAGGACCAGATGCCATGATCTTAGTTTTCTTGAAGTTGAGTTTCAAGCCAACTTTTGCACTCTCCTCCTTCACTCGCATCAAGAGGCTCTTTAGTTCCTCTTCACTTTCTGCCATTAGAGTGGTATCATCTGCATCTCTGAGGTTGTTGATGTTTCGCCCAGTATTCTTATTTCTAACTGGTGATTCATCTAGCTCCGCCTTTCTCATGATGAGCTCTGCATATAAGTTAAATAGGTAGGGCAACAGTACACAGCCTTGCCAAACTGCTTTCTCAGTTTTGAACCAATCAGTGGTTCCGTGTCCAGTTCTCACTGTTGCTTCTTGACCCGCATATAGGTTTCTCAAGAGACAAATAAGATGGTCTGGGACTCCCATCTCTTTAAGAACTTGCCACAATTTGTTGTGATCCACACTATCAAAGGCTTTAACATAGTCAATGAAGCAGAAGTTAATGTTTTTCTGGAACTCCCTATCTTTCTCCATGATCCAGCGTATGTTGGCAATTTGATCTCTAGTTCTTCTCCCTCTTCGAAATCTTGTGTGTACTTCTGGTAGTTGTCAGTCCACATACTGCTGGAGCCTACCTTGAAGGATTTTGAGCATAACTTTGCTGGCATGTGAAATGAGTGCAACGGTGCGGTAGTTTGAACATTCTTTGGCATTGCCCTTCTTTGGGATCGGAATGTAAACTGACCTTTTCCAATCCTGTGGCCACTGTTGAGTTTTCCAAATTTGCTGGTATATTGAGTGTAGCACTTTTACTGCATCGTCTTTTAAGATTTTGAATAGCTCAGCTGGAATACTGTCACCTCCACTAGCTTTGTTGTTGCTCAGACTTCCTAAGGCCCATTTGACTTCACATTCCAGGATGTCTGGCA